CTTAAGACTTCTGTTTAACAAAATGACCAACCATAATTCCAGAGGACTGATAAAGAATGCTACCTATCTCCAGATGGGGTAGTTGAATTTGCAGAATGAGTCACACATTTTTTGTCCAATATGGGTATTTATTTTACTTAACTATGCATATTTGTTATAACGGTTTTTGTTTTGTTTCGCTTTGGTGAGGAGGTGAGGTAGGAGAGAGGAAAAAAAAATAAATGCTTGATAATCGGTGGGGGGGGGAAGCCAGAAGGAGCTCAGAAATGCACAATTCAATTAAGTGGTCCAAGACCAAATGTGACAAACAGCCTCTTGCTCTTCTTTCTAACTAGTTTATTTAATTAAATAGGGGGTACACTAGGACTGAGACTCCCACATTCAGATTTCCACTTTCAGATCAGGCCCACCAGCTTGGACATATGCCATCCCACTTTTCTCACTTTTTCTCTCTCCTGTATATAACAAATCCTCTCTTCATTCGTTCCAAGCTCCCACAAGACGCCAACTCACAAACTACTAAGCATTCAACACAAAAGCTAGCTCTCTGTCCAAAGGCCTTCCTTCATTACACCCAAGGCATTTTCCAGTATCCAAAAGCAACCAACACCAGCCTCATTGCTACCTCCTAACACTCTTGAATGACCCCAAGAGATAATACACAGTCAACTTTGTGCCCCTGAGTCTCAGGCACACAGCCACTCCTTTGCTACTTGGCCCCAAATCATTTGCAGCATCTGATCTGTGCCAATGAGCAATGCCTCAGTCTGAAGTTCTGAGTTTAAGAAGAAGGGAGTCGATGTTGGCAGCTTCTCAGTTGTCTCTTGCTGGCCCTGGCTCACATCCCCATCTAGGTTTCCTCTGGGAACATCAGAGTCTAGGTCTCCACAGCAAAGAAAATGGGTCAGGGGTTCAGGTTATCACAACATCAAATATAAGACAGGTTTTATTTAACCTGAAAAAAAACATGTTACCACAGAAAGAACTCATATCTAAAGCACATAAATAATTTTAAAAAATCTTCCCTTCCTTTTCTTGCTGCCTTCTGTCTTCTGCGGGGACCTGGAAGAATTCCCTTCTGATGCTACCAACTCTCTATATCTTCATATTTGCTAGAGAACCTAGCAACCCATCCCTCCAGGTCTCCCTGAGTCCTTCTGTAGCTCCTTCTAAAGGCAAACCCCAAGGATTTATTTTAACACAGATGGATAAACTAGCTGAAGACCCATAAATCATCATAAGCAGTGTGCTATGAATTGGGGCAAATTGTATCCAGGAAAAGGCAAGGAATTTGTACCTTATCTAGAAGATATCATCAGTGTTAGAATAAGGCTTATCTGTGGGGCAATAATGACTTCCCACTTCATTAAACAATTGACAAAACTGAATGGGTAACTGAAACTGATTCAACTTCCCAGAATCCCCTTTCCTTTATCAATAAGGCAGAAATAATATCTATGGTCCCTAATGGTTGCTGTGATGATCAAATGGAATGGTGTATGTAAAGGGCTCTGTAAGCTTTAAGAAAGTAAATATTATCTATCATTATTAATACTGTTGTTATTCTTGGGGCAGCTAGGTGGCGCAGTGGATAGATCATCAGCCCTGAAGTCAGGAGGACCTGAGTTCAAATTTGGCCTCAGACTAAACGCTTGACACTTACTAGCTGTGTGACCCTGGGCAAGTCACTTACCCCCAACTGCCTAATATAATAATAATAATAATAATAATAATAATGTTATTCTTCAGAACTTAAAGAGCCTATAATTTCATTAGTGTAGGTACTCCCTGCTTTATAACTTAGCTGGTCATCTCAGAGAGTTGCTGTGTCCAAAAATAATTTATTACCCTTACCACCAACCTGGTGATGAGCCTTTATGAACTCACCTAGATTCATCCTCAAACAATAGACATGTTAGGCCTATCTGTGTTTCTAAGACTTTCTAGCCAAATTTTGTTCTTTACCACCATAGCCTTTGAGCATTCAGGGTCACCTCTGAACTATGATGAGTCATAGGAGTAGGACTTTAGTGGAGTACCATAGAGGGATATCATTATATTATGGATTTGAGAGCCATTTGAATAGAGGTAGTTGTTGAAGTCATAGAGGTGAATGGGTTTATTAGGGACACAAAAGTAGAGTAGGAAGAGAAGAGGATGCAGGATAGAACTTTGAGGAATAGTCACATAGAGTTTGTGAAGATGAGGGGAAGACAGAGGAGAGTATGGAGGAATGAGAAGAGAACCAGCAAAGCATCACAGTTCTGAAATAAAGAGTAAGACAATGTGTAAGTAGGAGTGTAGCCATTTCCTAGGGTGAAAATTGGCAGTATCTGATAATGCTGAGAAGTCAAAAGATGCTGGTAGATTTGGTATTTAAGGGATCATTTTGGGTAAGTTTAGTAGGGTTGAAGTACTTATTAAGGAAACAGTAACATTGGGCTTAGACAACTTTTTAAAGAGGGGCAACATTGTATGTGGGTAAGAGGGTTGCACATTTGTAGTCTTCAGGATATGAGTTCAAATTCCAGCTTAGTCATTGATAACTATATAATCCTGAGCAAATCTTAGAGCTTCCCAGTTCCTGCATTGAGCCTGGGAAACCAACCAACAGAAGACCAGCTCATTCAGTCCCAGGACATCAGGCTAGTGTAATACTCCAGGCTTGCACTAGGATCCTGGCATTGTCAGAGGAGAGAAGGGAGCATATACAGAAATGTTATGAAAATAAAATCTACAGGACTTGGCAGCAGATTGGATATGGGAGGTGAGAATGAGAAGTCGGGATGACACCTAGGTTGTGGCCTGGGTGACCTGGAGGATAGTGGTATTCTTGACAGTAATAGGGAAATTTGGAAGAGAGGAGAATTTTGGGGGGAAAGTTAAATTCAGTTTTGGACATGTTGGATGCATATGACCTACATGGGCAACACAGATACACCCTATGGTTCTTGGTCCACAATGGCTTCCTAAAATATTGGCATATTTATTTGCATTCAGTGTGCTGGAATTCACAGAAATCTTGGTGTTCATAGATCCAGGGTTAAGTTAGTCAACCTTGATCAGTGGACACCAGAACAAATACAGGTCAAGTTTACTTATGATGAAATCTAATGTTTAAATATTGATTATAAAATATTTGTGTAAAATATTTCTGAGACGTATGTAGCACCTGAGAACTAACATTAAAAGGTATAACTGAAAGATGTATCTATGTCCTTTTGAAGGTACTTCTTCTTGACCTAAGATCTAAATACATAAATATGTATAGTAGGATTTTGATAATTTTTCTCCATTACATTTTACTAAAGTTAGAAAAAAGTGATAACCAAAAATAATCAATTCACTTCCTTGGCTTTTTGTAAAAAATCTCTCTTAGAACAAACTTTTTAGGAGTATCCTATTTGTAAAATTCATAAGTCAAGAAACTACTATTTACAGTATTTATAGTAACTGTTTTTCTTTTGGCCAGCAAGCCTGTGGGTATTCCCCTTCCGGTTTGATTTTTTTTTTTTTTAAATTAAAGGGACCATCCCTTGACTCTCACTTCTTAAAGAGGCCTATTCACTGAATGGACATTGCCTCAATCAAAGTGAGAACCTGAAAAGACCTTAGCTTTAAAGGGCCAGGGTCTCCCATTGCACCCTGAGCTGTCTCCATTGTCCTGATGAATATCTGGCCAATGGACCCAGATGGCTCTGGAAGAGAAAGTGAGACTAGTGACCTTGCACAGCCCTCCCTCACTCAAAACAAAGTCAGTTGCAAGTCATGTTATCCCTGATGTCATGGTCCTCTTTGAAAATGAAGGACAAACACAACACAAAACAGTTGAGAGAGATGGAATTTTTGAAATCAGAGGGATCTAAGTATGTTTGTAAGCAGGTGGGGAGAAGCCAGTGGGGAGAGAGGGATTATAGTTCTACTTGTCGTAAAAGGTTGTGTTCATTCAGCTTGGGGTTTCCACACATGCACTTTTTTGTTATTTTCTCAGTGAGTCTTTTTTGTAATTGCAGGACATTGCAGAGGACACTAACTCAAAGAAACAATAACTTTATTTTAGTATAGTGTGGATTTTTCATGTTTTTACGTTTTCTGCAGTGTATGAAAAGCTATTTCCTTGAATTTCATCTACTTGTACCTCCATTTGTAACAAATTAAGGTCTGCAAAAAATAAAATCATTTAACAAATGTGTATTGTCTAAATAAACTAATTGTCTTTTAACGTCATTCTTCCCTCCTCTTAAATTGTAAGCTCCTTGAAATTAGGCACTGTGATTTATTTTAACTTTATATCTAGAGGCTCACATAGTGTCTAACACATATTACGTGCTTCATAAATGTTTGTTGAATTGACCTATATATGTTTATAAGAAAACCAAGTTGCAAAAAATAAATTTATGTGTTCCTTAACTAACAAAGCTTATGATCTATAAATAGAACTTTCAAAGAATAGCTTAAAGTAATTAATATATTTCAATTTCCATCCCCTACTTCCCTACTTCCCAACTTCCAAATTTTGCTGGGAGGAGAGAAAGGTCTTAGGGAGGAAAATGGATGTGGGTTTTTTGTTTATTTGTTTGTTTGTTTGCTTGTGGTTTTTTTTTGTACCCCCAACTTTAAAATATCTAGATATTTTATATCTCTGGGCAGAAATCATCAATGTAGACATACTTCTAGAATTCCAGAAAACCCACTAAAACAAGTTTGATCTGCATCATTTGATGTCTTACCAGGTTTACCAGTGATTTCTAAAAAAAACTTTCATTTATATTGTCTTGTTACAAGTGCATATAGAATAAGTTCAATAGTAATTAAGGGGAAATTTGCACTAAAAGAACATGAACAGATCATAAAACTACTAACATGAATCTGTAATGAATATGCCTAGGCAGACTAGAAATTGTGCAAGACCTACTTGAAATAGTATAAAATAAAGGTAGAATAAGTTTATCTTAAGAGCAAAGTCACTGAAAAATTTTTTTTTTCATTTTAAAATCTAGTGTCTGAAGAGAGCTCATCCAGACAAATTTAAAGACCCTATAATGGTTCCTCTTCATGAATTTGCATGGCATGAATTTCTACAAGAGAAGAAAAGGGTACTTTTTAAACTTTTTTTTCAAACAATGAAGTTTTATCTTAATTATTTCTATTTAGAGTTGACTGAAGTCTGAAAGGGTAGCCTTTTTCATACGTGCATGTTATTTGTTAATTCATATGCTTTTCAAGTTATTTCTGTCAGGCTGATGTGAAGAAGTGAAATACTTGTAGGCCTTTGCTCTGGGGACAGCCTAATAGTGGTAAGACTTGACAGTCTTGTGTTCTGTGTAGTACTTCTCAGCATAGTAATGGGATGTCAGTGAATGTTAATTGATGATAATGATTATAATTGTTTACATTAATAATCATACTGCTTTGATAGGAATTACCTTGTTCATTTGCTGTTGTCCTTAATATTCAGAGAAGACCAATATGACATCACTAGGTTGGGGTCAAGGTACGGTGTGTCCTACTGTGGCTGATCAGATCAATACCAGCTTGGAAGGCTTTATCACAGGTCAGGCACAAATAGTCCATACGAACATTTGGGACGGAGATATCTCTAAATTTTTCACATCTCACATTTCTTTTGAACTATTACAATTCTGTTTTGCTCATAAAGAACTTTGGTATAATCAGAGGTGGGGAACCTGCGGCCTTGAGACCACATGTGGCCCTCTAGGTCCTCAAGTGCGGCCCTTTGACGGAATCCAAACTTCACAGAACAAATTCCCTCAATAAAAGGATTTGTTCTGTAAAACTTGGACTTAGTCAAAAGCTCACACCCAAGCACCTAGAAAGCCACACGTGGCCTTGAGGCTGCAGGTTCTCTACCCTTGGACTATAGATTGTGAGAGATGGGAGACACTGGCACAGGACTGTCCAGCATGGCATGCCCACATCAAAGAAGGCAAAGTAGTCACTAGCTCCTCTTTGAACCCTGCCAGGATGTGTGATGGACTGAGAAGGCCTGGGTCTGGTCTACAGCTTCCACTCAGTCTTAATGCACTCGTAAGGAGCTCTGTAACCCTGAGTTCCATAGTATTTTAGGGTGTTTGCTGTGCCAAGCCTTTGTAATGTTTAATAAATATAGTAGCAAGCCTCCTACGCAGATGAGGGAGAAAGGGACTTGGCCGGTATACCAGCACTCACCAGATGAGCTTTCATTTACAGAGGCCTTACTGCCCCCCGGGTGTGAGATTCATCTATTTTTATCAGTCAGTCAGGCATTTATTAAGGGCCTACTATGTACAAAGCACTGTGCCAAATACTAGGGATACGGTGACACAAATGAGACGTTCTCTCCTCTGGTGGAAAGTGCATTCCATCAGAGGAGACCGTTTGCATGACGTAGACAAGCATTTACAAAAGAAGTGCTAGGATGGTTTTGAGACAGGAAGTTGCAGAAGGGAAGAAGGAAGTATGAGCAGCCGGGGGCAATTTGGAATGATCTCCGGTAGAAGGTGGTGCCTGAGGAGAACCTCCAAGGAAACTAGAGACTCTGGAAGATAGGAGAGAGGAAAGAGCATTTTCCTGGCATGGAGTCACCTGGGGAAAAGCATGGAGGAGAAATGGACTCCCTTTTCAAGACTGCAAGCGTCTGCGTTGGTTACATGTGAGGAGTCACTAGTTTGTATCATGGCTTACATCATGCCCTTTGTTTTCTCTACCTGTGTTCCCTCATTCTGGTGGTAGGGAAGGAAACCACACTTAGAGCACACAGAGTCAGCCTACACATCGCACCACCCTTGCAGGGTTGTAGTGAGGATCAAATGAAACAATATTTATAAAAAGAGCTTAGCACAGTGCCTTGCACTTAGTAGGCAATCTATAAATGCTTATTCCCTTCCCTTCTCTCACTGGTTTTCCTTCTTGGAAGAGTAGAGTTGCGATAGAGCCCAAGAGCACACAGAGAAAACCACTCCTCCATTCCTGGTACCCCATTTGCAGCAAGAATCTCGCTAGCTCCTTTGTTCTCTTTCTCTTTAGTCAACAAGCATGTATTAGGCACTTAACTATTTGCCAAGCACAGCTCAGTGGCTCAGTGGATGGAGTGCTAGGCTTGGAGTTCAAATCTGGCCTCAGATACTCACTTGCTGTGTGACCCTGGGCAAGTCACTTAACCCTTTTTGCCCCAGTTTCCACATCTTTAAAATGAACTGGAGAAGGAAATGGCAAACCACTCTAGTATCTCTGCCAAGAAAACCCCAAATGGGTCATGGCGAGTTGAACACAACTGAAACAACTAAACAACAATAGCAAAAGGTCTGACCATGTCACCCCCACTTCAGAAAATTCCAGTGGTCCCCTGCTACCTCTGGGATCAAATAGAAAATCCTCTCTTTGGATTTTACACCCCTTCATAAGGTGGCCTCTTCCTGCCTTTCCAGTCTTCTTACTTCTTATGCCCCTCTATGTCATACCCAGTGATCCAGTGACACCAGGCTCCTTGCTGTTCTACAGACAAGGTTCTCTGATAAGAGTGTTTTCTCTGGCTGTTCCCAGTGCCAGGAACACTCTCCTTCACCTCCAACTTCTTGTTTCCTTCAAGTCTAATTAAAGTCCCATCTTCTGTACAAAACCTTTCTCATCTTCCTTAATCTCAGTACCTCCCCTGTCAACAGGCAATCACAACGTCACAAAGCTTATATAAAAACTAGGTTTATTACAAGAGAAATGAACATACATGTGGAACCCAATGAGTTCACAGTCCTTACAGAAGTTTGCATATTTATGACAGTACAACAAAAAGGACAAAACAGGAAGGGGCATGGCATGGCAGGAGAAAGGTGCAGTAATCCCTCCCAAGGAGAGGTGCAAGCGATGGCAAGAGCTGCATTCTTTTCCCTTGACCGCTGGACTGTGAAGCTAGGAGGGTCTGCTTATCTGCAAAGGACCCCACTGCATACGCATCTTTCCCAGCCTGGCACAGGCTGGCCGGTGCTGTCTTGTGAATCCAAATTGGGGTGCAAACAACAAATTATGTCTGGTGGGGATGGGGGCTTCTTCCTTGACATATTCTCCTGAATTCCTCCTGCATGCTCTGGGTCCAGTGTTTCTGGAAAATATGGCAACTTTAAAAGACATGTTCAGGAGATCCCTTAACAGCCCTTAACACCATGGAAAGACTACCCCCAATTTATCCTGTATATCTCTTGTAGACTGTGAGCTCTTAGAGAAGAGAGACGGGATTTTTTGTTTTTGTTTTGTATTGTTTTTGTCTCTCTTTGTATTCTCAGTAATTAGTCTGTCAGTCAACAAACATTTATGTAGTACTTGCTATGTGCCAGGTACTGTGCTAAATGCTGGGGCTGTTTGTTTCACTTATGTGCAACTCTTCTTGATACCATTTGGGGTTTTCTTGGCAAAGATTGATGGAATCCTGATAAAGCTGTCCCCAACCCCAATATTCTAACTTCTTATGAGCTCCACTTAACAGCAGGCATGTCCTGATTTAACCACACAATCTGACTTTGACCACATCACAGGCCCCCAGACTCAATAGAGCCACTGCCCCTACCTAGCCACTACCCCCCCAACTCAATGTCCTAAGTTCCTCATATATGCCTCAGTGCTCACTAGAACAACAGGTGTGTCCATGAACTCATATTTCTCACAGAAACAGTAAGTGTGTCCATGTGATGGGATCCCAGGCATTGTCTCTAGCTAGTCACTGCTCCCAGACCCATACCTCACATTTCCCACAGAAATAGCAGGTGTGTCCATGCACTCAACCACAAACACATCCTGCTAACCTCAGACAGGACCACAATAGTCAGCCAGTCAGAAAGCAGCACCACCAGGATGCTTGAGCAGGATGTGGACCCCAAATGTTTCCCTCTAAAATGGGGCCTCCTTTCCCTTGGCCTGTTTCCTGCCTTTATCAAAGGGACTACCCTTTAACCCCTTCCAAAATGGGAAATAGTTAAAATTTCTGACTTCAGAAATTGTTAGTGACTTCATTTTGTTCCCAAAATAATATGATGAATAAAATATAAATAGTTAATATAACAAGAATGTTATGTGTGGACTAGATATACCACTCAAACTTCAATGTTATACAGCATTACAGAAGGTGAATAAAATGTCTAACTATACAGTTAAATCTTCAATCCTATTAGGCAAAACTCTTGACAGTGTTTTTTAAACTACTGCAAGATCTGTGGAAGCATATTAAAAACCTTTTTATTTTACCTGAAAATATTAATGTTTCTGTGTTCTAAAAGCCCTTTCCAGAAATGGCTCCCTCCTTCCTCTCCTTAGAAGGATGATTAATAAGTCCAGGATAAAAAGAAGAAAGACCTTTCTTACAGAAATAGGTGTTAAGGGTAGAAACTAAACTTTGAAAAAAGAATACCTCTAATCTGGTTAAGACCCTAGCCTTCTACCATCCCCCTAAAGAGACTGGACTATGACTCACCATTCTCCATTAAGAAAAGTCTCTTTCTGAAGGGGCCTTGCAATCCCTGAGGTGAGTGTACAAAGAAGAAACTAAGTAGTTACCATTCTAGAGTGTTAACCCCAAACTGCATTTTAACATATTTTTCTTTTTTAATATAATTAATAAATATATAATAAATATAGCAATAAAATAAATAAATTTTCTTTATTCAAGATTCCTATAAATTTACCTCAAATCTTGAAGTAGAGAGAAATGTACAAGGGCATGGGTGGGCTATGCCACTTTGGACATTTCTCTAAGCTGGAAATGGTTCTGATTTAGAATTATACAAAATAAAATGGTTTCTTATAAATGTACCTAAAATGGCCCTGCATATTAAATTTTTTTCTTCAACAGAGCAAAATTTCAGAACACACACAAAAAAAAGATATTTTGTGGATAGGGACTAAATTAAATTATCCTTAGCTAATCATAGATTCTAGTTTTAAAGATCTACTAATTTTTCAAACATGAATATTTTTTATTTTTCTTTTCCATTATAGGAACTCAAGGGTGAAACATGGAGATACCCTTCTACTGTGATGTGTTTTATTAATGATCAGCTTTTGGGCAATGAAGGCTGTCTGCAGAAATGGGCTTATAAGAAATGGGGTCAAAAAGATTTTAAGCCCATACCACTTTATGAAGCTCTTACTTCGGATTATGTGGCCGATTACTTGAAAAATTCCAAGGCAGGTTATACTTATTTTTCTAAGGGAATAATGGAGTCCTGGATCATTGATATTCATTCATCGTTAATGCAGAAACATTTATTGAATGCCTGCTATATGTACATTAACCGTACTACGTGCGCAGAGCTTCTTAAACTGTGGGTTGTGAGTGGAAAATGTTTAAGAAGTCCTGCAGTAGAGAATAGAAAAGGGCAGATAGAGGACATTCCCTGCCCTTGAAAAGCTTAAAACTGAGTTGTAAAAATAGCTAGGTCATAGATTTAGAAGGAATTTTTTTTAATTAATTAATTTATTTTTAGTTTTCAACAATCACTTCCATAAGCTTTTGAGTTTTAAATTTTCTCCCTTTCCTTCCCCAAGACAGCATGCAATCTGATATAGGCTCTACATATACATTTCTTCTAAACATATTTTCACATTAGTCATGTTGTAAAGAAGAATTAGAACCAATAGGAGGAACCACAAGAAAGACGAAACAAAACAAAACAGAAGAAAAAAAGAGCAAATAGTATGCTTCAATTTGCATTCCAACTCCATAGTTCTTTTTCTGGATGTGGATAGCATTTTCCATCATGAGACTTTTGGGGATGTCTTAAATCCTTGCATTGTTGAGAAGAGTTAATTAGTTATCACACAATGTGGCTGTTACTGTGTACGATGTTCTGGTTCTGCTCACTTCACTCAGCATCAGTCCATACAAGTCTTTCCAGGTTTTTCTGAAGTCTGCCTACTCATCATTTCTTATAGCACAGTAGCATTTCATTACATTCATATACCACAACTTGTTCAACCATTCTCCAATTGATGGGCATCCAATTCTTTGCCACCACAGAAAGAGCTGCTATAAATATTTTTGTACATGTGGGTCCCTTTCCCATTTTTATGATCTCTTTGGGATACAGCCCTAGAAGTGTTATTACTGGGTCAATGGTAGAAGGAACTTTCAAGATCATCTAATTCAACTGCCCTCCCCCCATGATGCAAATGAGGAAACTGAGGCAGAAAGAGGTTACTAACTTTTCCACTAGGACTGGAGTCAGGAAGATCTGAATTCAAATTCTACCTCAGACACTTACTCACTATGTGACCCTGAGCAAGTCACTTAACCTCTGTTTGCCTCAGTTTCCTCCTCTGTAAAATGGGGGTATAATAGCACCTACCTCCCAGAATTATTGTGAGGATCAAATGAGACAATAATCATGAAAGTGCTACATAAATGTTAGCCATTATTATTATTATTATTATTATTATTATTGTTATCCAAGGTCACATTGGCTGTAAGTGTTAGAGCTGGCACCACGCTGCCTCATCCAGCCTTTCAGAATTGGAGTGTCAAGCTCCTGGCTCCTATTCTGCTGTGTTAGAGTGAGAGTCAGATATCCCCAGGGGCCAAAGTAGGCCTATTGCCCATTCTAGTAGGAGTTAATTTAAGTAAATTGCTTTCCTCCTAACATCTATCTGAGGGCAAAATCACTGAAAGAATGGATGATTTATAAAGGCACTTAATAAATATTTATTAAATAAATGGCTGAATGATTGGGGGTGGGAAAAGAAGGGGCACTTTTGGAGCATTGGGGACTGCACAGACAGGCTGCTTCTGTGAGGGTCTTTGAATCACCAGATACAAGAAAGAAAGGGGGGTTTTAGAAAGTGAGAGAAATGCACAAAGTAGGGTATGGGAGGACATCAAAGTCAAGCCATCTACTTAATAACTTTGCTTAGGCCCTGCTAGTAGCAACTCCTAAATAGCCTCTTTAATGCTTGCAGTATGCTATAGCAGTTTGCAGTAAAACCCCATTTTTACTGGATAGGATGGAAGCCAAATAAAATCCCATGAAAGGTGGATTTGGGGAGTTGAGGGGAAGGAAACTGGTACTCTTTGTTTTAAAAATTATATTATACAGTATTCTGTTTCTATGGAATTCTCATATTCTATCTATTTTTCCTATAAAGTGCTAGAATATAAAACATGCTGGTGTTTTTCCTTTTGCTTTTCACTTATTAATTTAAAGTTACACATTTAAACTAATATAAAAGCATATATGCGTCATTGACTGATTTTTTTTTTTTTTTGAGGCTGAGTCTCCCTATCTTACTGAGGCTGGAAGCTCACAAAGCCTAATCTCGAGGATGATGGGCAAAGAAGCTTTGACTTGCTCCATTTCCAGCTTAGGATATTTTTCTACTTCTTAGGCAGCCTAGTGATCCCTACTCCTGGAGACTCACCATATTGTACTTAATGTGAACATCTATAGCTCAGAACTCCAGGAGCAATCTATCAGCCTCAGTCTCTCCTCCTGCCCCTACCCCAATTCCCCTTCTCTCTTGGCAGGAATTACACGTGTATACCACCATGCTGTCTTTGATGTCTTCTCTTCCACCATTACTTCCATTTAATGTAATCTAGAATTTCTCTTAACCAAGTTACCAGTTTGATGGTATGCTCTTGGAATGCCTGAGGCTGGTGGTTATTGCACTTACAGCCCAGGCAAAATAGGGAGACTTTGTCTTAAATGAGCAAACGTTGTTACACATACAAATAATGTTATCTAAAATGGGCATCCTACTAAGATGAGATTGAACTTAAACTAACAAAGAATAAGCACAATTTAAATTTTTTCCTGCTATCTTAATGGATTTACCCTGGGAAGTGCCAGCCATTGTTAAATTTTCTGCGTCAGCAGCTACACCTTGGAAATTTTGACACACACTATAAATCAGGGCTTGAATTTTTTCTTTCTGACTGTTTGCAATATTTTCTCCTTGACCTGGGAGCTCTGGAATTTGGCCATAATATTTTGGGATCTCTTTCAGGAGGTGATCAGTGGATTCTTTTAATTTCTATTTTACCCTCTGGTTCTAGCATCAAGGCAGTTTTCTGTGATAGTTTCTTGAAAGATGATGTCTAAGCTCTTTTTTTTTTATCATGGCTTTCAAGTAATCCAATAATTCTTAAATCATTTCTCTTCAATCTGTTTTCCAGGTCAGTTGTTTTTTTAGTGAGGTATTTCACATTTTCTTCTATTTTTTCATTCTTTTTATTTTGTTTGATTGCTTCTTGATGTCTCATGGAGTCATTAATTTCCACTTGTCCAGTTCTAATTTTTAATTAGAATCTAATCTAATAATTAAAGAATTATTTTCTTCATTGAGCTTTTGTACCTCTTTTCCATTTAGTCAATTCTACTTTTGAAGGAATTCTTTCTTCAATGAATTTTTGTGCTTCTCTTTCTGTTTGGCCAATTTTGTTCTTTAAGATGTTATTTTCATCAGTATTTTTTTGTGTCTCTTTTACCGAGCTGTTAACTCTTTTTTCATGAGTTTCTTGAATCATTGTTATTTCTTTTCCCAAATTTTCCTCCACTTTTTAAATTTGATTTTTTTTTTGTTTTGTTTTGTTTTTTTGGCTAGGCAGTAGGGGTTAAGTGACTTGCCCAGAGTCACACAGCTAGTAAATGTCAAGTGTCTGAGGCTGGATTTGAACTCAGGTCCTCCTGACTCCAGGGTTAGTGCTCTATCCACTGCGCCACCTAGCTGCCCCCTAAATTTGATTTTTAAAGTCCTTTTTTAGCTCTTCCAGGAATTCTTTTTGTGCCTGAGACCAATTCATATTCGTCTTTGAGGCTTTGGATACAGCAATTTTGACTTTGTTGTCTTCTTGAGTTTGTGTTTTGATCTTACCTGTTACCATAGTAACTTTCTATGGTCAGGATCTTTTTTTGTTTGCTCATTTTTCCAGCCTATTTCTTGACTTTTAGCTTTTATGTCAAAGTTGGGCTCTACTCCTGGGGTGGAGGGGGCACTGTTTTGTTTTTTCATGAAGCTGTTTTCAGAGCTGAGGGTCTGTAAGTTTTTAGTTCTTCTAAGGTGGCTTGATCTAAGAAGAGGTATGTTTACCACTCTCCTGGCCTGTGCTCTAGTCTGTGAGTGACCACAGGCACTCTTTTCTGCCCTAGAACCGTGACTAGGGTCCCCACTTCCCTGAAGCTACAAGCTGTGGTGTGCTATTATTCCTCCTCACTCTGGAACTGTGACCCAGATCCAAGTATGGGCAATGCCCCCAGTGCCAACAAAGGAACCCTTGTAATCTCCTTCTGACCAGTTGTCTAACCCCCTTACTGTCTATGGGCTGAGAGTTCCAGAAGAAGTTCCCTACAACCACTGATTCAGTCAGCCCTGAGGCCTGCTCTTGGTTTCCTGTGGTGTGGCCAGTACTGGCACAGTCTGCATTGAAGTGCACTCCACTCTCACCCTCATGTGACAGACCTTCTAAGTTGTTATGGGCTGGAAAGTTGTTTCACCCCATCTTTTTGTGGGTTCTGCCACTCCCGAATTTGTTTTGAAGCATTATTTAATGTTGTTTGGAGGGGAAATTGGGGGAGCTTGGGTGAGTTCCTGCCTTTTCTTTGCCATCTTGGCTCTACTCTTCGAGGGGAAGTTTCAGGGGCTGGGAGGGGAGATTTCATGGTCTTTTTAGATATGAAGGATGGACTCCAAAAAGAGGGTAGAGTCACTAGCTTTGCCTCCCAGCCACAGAGCAAGTCCTCTAGATTTCTTTTCCTGATGGCGTGGAGTTTGTGGCCCAATGTGCAATCTTCATGTTCCCTCTGAGACTCCCCACCATACAGACCATGATGGCCCTTGTCATATACCACCTGACAGAACAGGCTGCTTACTGGGCCACCTCTACCTCATGGAAAATATATCCCTGTTTGATAATGCGGAAGAGTTTCTACCAGAGCTTCATGAATCTTACTTTCTTTGATCCAAAATTGTCACCTGCTAGATTCACTAGCTCAGGCAGGGGCAGACTACAGCATCTCCTTTCAAACCCCAAAATATGATTTGTTCTAGAATATCCCAGCTCTGATTAGTAACTTCGTAGATGGTTTAGCTGCCCCTTTGGGGGATGAGTAAGGCAGATGTAGGTAGCCCTGGACTTAGTCATGTTGATGTGGCTGGTGATGTGCTTGAATCAAGTCCTGCTTTCAATCGCGTCC